GTATCATCAGCTCCCAAACCATCTTTCTAGGGGACCCCCGCCCTCTGCTTCCCCTTCCCTCCCCATGAGTCCCTAAGACCCCAGGGATGGGGTGAGCGCTCCCCGCGCCTGCACACCTGAACCCTTCCCCTGCCACCTGCCCCAGAGATTCTTAGCCAGGTGCAAGCTGTTGTGCTGGGACCCAGGCCTCCTTGCCACTCCCTCTCTCCCCCTACCCCACCCCTTCCCCCCAATCTGGAAGAAGGGACTGACTGAGCTTTGGGAACAATTCGACCCACTTCCTGAAAGGCTGGTCGCGGGCCAGCAGGGCGGTGTGGTGGAGACACCTGTCTTGCCTGCCAGCTGAAGGACCCAGAAGCCTCTGTCAGATGGGCCAGGTGGTCCCTGGGTCCATCCCAGCCCCCCTGATGTACTGGCCGGGATCCCCAGGGACCAGGCCCAAGAGCGTGGTCATTTAAGATCTCCAAAGCTATTTCCCGACCCCACCCCAGACCCCCAGGACTTCCCCAGCCACCAGTCTCCCCTCCCACACCCTGGGTTTCCCACCTGCTCCAGGGGACCCAGGGCTGGTGTTCAGGGCCTTGGTCACCCCACTGCTCGGTGGCCCTCCTTCCTTTCCCTGTTTGAAACTTTCCCCTCTCACCAGCCACCATCACCCTGCACCGCCTTGAGTCCCCAGGGCGCAGAGTTGGGCTGGGACCTGTGCTGGGCCAGCACCAGGAGGGTTGGTGCCAGCCAGGGCAGGCTGGGCATCTGGGCCTGAGGGCCAGGGCTTTCGGCTGGGTCCCTGGTTCGCCCTGAGCTCCGAATGGGGTCCCAGGGCTTGCTTTGCCATGAAGCGGGGAGGCAGAGCAGGGGCTGTTTTTCTTGCATGCTTCCGACTGTCTTGTGTTGCCATGGCGACAGTTTTGCCTCCCTTCCTCCTCCTGACTCTTCTGGGAGCTGGTTTTTATTGGTCTGTTGTCCTGTCTTTTATGGCTTTAATTTCTCCTTTCTACTTGCTCTGGGATAAACAGTCATAAACATGGGCACTGGGCCAGGCTGGGGGCTAGCAGAGCTTCACCTCATCCTGGCCCTGCCCTCCTGCCAGGGAAAATAAGGCCAAGAGGTGGGGACAGACCTGCCCACACCCCCTCCTGCTCCCAGCTCTGTGCAGGGGGGGGCGGGGCGGGTGTCACCCACGGGCATGGCACCACAGTCCCAGGCACACTGTGGGCAGCATCCTGCCTCGGTCCTAATAATAGATGTCGAGTGTGGTGGGGGAGCTGGCAGGCGTTATTTCCTTTCATCTTGATGGCAGCCCTGTGGGGTCGGGGCTGTCCCCACTTTGCCGAGTGAGCTGTCTCCCTGGCGTCACGCTGAGGTTTGCACATAGTGCTCAGTTTTTGTGAAGTGAATGGGACAGTGATGGCGCTGGCATCCCCTTGACTTTCCTCCGAGGCTCATGGGAGGTGGTCCCCAGTTTTCCGGCCCCTCTGTGTGCTGCTGGACTCCCACGGAGGCGGAGGAGAGCTGCTGGGAGCTGCCTGATAGGTCCCTTGACCCCAAGTGCAGGGACCCGAGTTGAGAGGAGAGCGAAGCCACTTGCAACTTCCTGTTTTCATTCCGCACTGAGAAGCATTCAGTTTGCTTTTACTCTCAGGGCCTGGATGCAACTGGATGAGTCAGGGCCACTGAGAGCCCATCTGTCCCTCCCAAGCCAGCCCCTGTTCAGAGCGCACCCGGCCCCAGGGTCACGGCTGGCAGCTGTCAGTGACACTCGCCAGAGAAGCTCCTCTTCTCTTCTCTTCCTTTTTATACTTCCCTTCATTCCACACTCTTCTCCCCACTCCCTCCCCTTCTCCCCTCACATGGCCCAGGCTCTGGGCTTGTTAATAAGCTGGAAAAGCACTATGGTCACATGAACAGACCAGAGAAGCAACAGCCTCAAGGTCAAACGTTGACCCTGAGGAAATGCCGTCACTCATCTGGGCCTCAGTTGGCAGCATCTGTCCTCGTGGCCACATTGGCGTGTGGTGGTAGGGTGGGATGGAGTCGTTTCTAGAGAGAGTGCTTTGGAAGGTTGAAAGCCTGAAGCACCTATAACATCCTCTCTGGTAAAGAGACCTTGACCCACCGCTCAGAGATCGAGAACTGGTTTAGGAATAGTTAGCTGCAAAATCTCAGGGTTAGGGGCATTCTTTAGTCATCTTGTCCAGCCTTGATGTTGAATCTGTTTGTTTATGTACCTTTCATTAATTGGGCATCTACTCTGTACCAAATGCAGTTTGGGGAATTGGGGATTAAAAAAGTGAGTACAATTACTGTTCCAAGCATGTTGTCTGCTGATGAAGACAGTCATGGAAAGAGATCCTTGTAATACAGTCAGAGAGGTGGTGTCATAAGAGAAAAGGTAGGGTCCCAGAGTTGGTGACTTGACTGGGTCACCCATTAAGGTTGACGCAGGCAGCCTGTGCTGTGCGGCTGAAATCCAGCAGTCCTGCCCCTGCCCACTTGGCAAGCCCTGGTCTGGCCCTCACAGCGGTGGGGTGATTGCTGCAGAGCCCCCCGTTCAGCTCCTGTGAGCAGGGCCAGGAGAGAGGCAAGAGGCAGGGAGCCAGCCCTGCCTTCCTCGCTGAGTTTTGACTCATCCACTCGTAGTAGCCGCTGGTTCCTGTTTCATCTTGGTCAAACTCCTTCCTCAGGGGCTACATGGTGATGATTGCAAAGAGCAGATTTTGAAGTCAGATCTGAGTTCAGACTTTACTGCTGTGATGTCCTAGCTGTGAGACTCTGAAAAAAAACACCAACCCTCTCTGAGCCTCCATTCTTGCATCTGTAGAATGGCAATAACGATACTTGCCTTCTAAGAAACAAATTATCTTATGTATTTATAGGGTCTGGCCTGGTGCCCACCTCACATTAGACTTGCTGTTATTTAGTTATATTGATTAGAAAAGAGTTCGCAGTTACTGGGCCTCTGGGTCCTCTTAGAAGCGTGGTGGGAAGCTCTTCGGACTAATTCTGGCCTTCAGAGATCCATTCATTATCTGGGAAGGTTAAAAATCGCTCAGGTTCCTCACGCTGCTGGTTAATCTCTGTGTTATCTCTCACCAGATAAGCTCTGTTCCACGGCACCAGGACACCGTGTGCATCACCAAGGCCTTTGTTTTCTCAAAGAGGAACACATTCGAAATGGCAACAAATGCCCTGGTTTTCAAAGATGTGTTCCTGCCTTGAGAATGCTTTAATTTGGTGCCGTTCCTTCCATGTGTTTTTTGCTTTTGTTGCCTTTGCTTTGGTGTCAAATCCAAAAATGCACCACCAAGACCCATGGCAAAGAGCTTACTGCCTAGGTCAGTGATGGCGAACCTATGACACGCGTGTCAGAGGTGACACGCGAACTCATTTTTTTGGTTGATTTTTCTTTGTTAAATGGCATTTAAATATATAAAATAAATATCAAAAATATAAGTCCGTGTTTTACTATGGTTGCAAATATCAAAAAATTTCTACATTTGACACGGCACCAGAGTTAAGTTAGGGTTTTTCAAAATGCTGACACGCCGAGCTCAAAAGGTTCCCCATCACTGGCCTAGGTTCTATTCTAGGGATTTTATGGTTTCGGGTCTGACGTTCAGGTCTTTAATGCATTTCGAGTTGATTTTGGAGTCTGATGTGAGACTGTGGTCCAGTATTGTTCTTTTGCACGTGGCCGTCCAGTTTGCTCAACACCATGTATTGAAGAGACTGCCCTTACCCCATGGCATATTCTTGGTTCCTCCATCAGAAAACACTTGAAAGTGAATGTTGCATCGTTTTTATTCTGAGCATGTTTAGCTTCCTTTTGTTTTTTCAGAGTTACCCTATGTGTGTATTTACATTGTTTTTCGAATCCTCCATACAACTTCCAGGCATTACTGTTCCCGTCCCCTATTTACAGTTGAGGGAACAGGGAGAGGTGAGGTCGCCTGCACAGAGCCCAGCGGTTAGCGAGTGGCAGGGCCAGAATTTAAAACTGGGTCCCGCCGGCTCTTTGTGCCACTGCACACAGTCTTGTCATTTTCTTGGCTGGCGTGTCAGTGACCTAAAATAATTGCGCTTGAAGAATGTGCGCAGATTTCAGCGGGGGTGGAACTGGTCAGTGTTGTAACTCAGACTCATAGTAAATATTTAGAGACTTTATTAGGGTTCTGCTCTCGGCTCCGCACTGAGGAGACTTCTTTTCTAAAAGTGATGAATAGGAGCTTGACACCTCTGAGCTGGGAGGAAGCGTTTGATAATGCTGGAAGTAGCTTTCTTTGCACAAGAATGGATTGCTGCTCTTGTCGAGGAAATAAATGGAACTGTTTTCATAATGGAATGTGCAGAGGGAAAGCATGACAGGTACATCCCAGGGACTTAGGGACGGAAGCAGTGAGGCCAGGAAGTGTGGGTGGGTGGGTGGCTGCTCACAGGCAAGGGCGGTGTGGATTCGGCAGCCTAACTCCCATCTAGGAACGTGGAGGTGTTGGAAAGCAATTACAGAATCTCTCACCAACCTTTCCCGGGGAACGTAGGAGTCTGTTTGCCTGGCTTAGGTGCCCCATTGGACCGGCGAGTCCCAGTGCTGGAAACGGGCGTGTCGTTTGCCAGCAGTGAGCTTACTGGGTCCGCCTTGGCCCTGCCGACAGACGCGCTTCTCTTCGCAATTATGTCAGGCCTGCGTCTGGTGTCTGCTTGTTTAATGACTTCCCTTTCTAATAAAACTTCTATATGGCCTGGATAATTAGGTATTTAAAATGAAACTGGGGAATGCAGTGTCCCCAAAGAGTTTAATTGCACTTTTAGGA